GACAAGTTTTCCCCTTGATGTGTTATTTTTTTGCTAACTTAGTCAGCAGGATTCTGCCATATCACGAGTGCTCCAACTTCTCAGGTTGGGCAAAAACTTCAAAAGTATCACCAAGTAAAATAAAGCGAGGAGAGCACATTTCCAGATATTTAATCTCTCTGCTATTTTTCTTGTAATGGCTATTACAAAAATAAAGTGGAAGTCACCTCTTTCAGCTCCAATGAGCTACTAGATTAGCTCAGGAAGTCTTACAGGACTGCACCCTTAAGCATGCCACGCTGGCAGGTGTTTGGGAGCCCCATGAAATCCCTTTGGACCAAAAAATAAACTATTGATATAGCTAAACACTGAAACAGTCAACCCCAAGAGCTTACCTTAATGTACAGTTTTGGATTACTGAGACCTACAGCTTTTCACAAAGCCCAAAGATCAATTAATCTTTTTTAATGGGAAGCAACTGAGTGTCTTTCACTGTAAAAAGTTTACAGTGTTGCTTCTCTTTCCCTAATTTTGCCTCCCTCAAAACCTGGTTGCAGTAGCTAAGGTGAACTAGCATAGGGTTACAAGAAAAAAAAGGTCTGGTCTATGTGAAGGCCTCCTTAAATTTCCTATCTGTCAGTGGAAATATGACAGAGAATTGCATGGTCCAATAAAAATAAATTGAAATTTGGGATTACTATTTCTGTATCCAAAATGCAATGACCACATTATGCAAAGAACTGATCTGACAACAACAACAAAATTCCCTTTTGCAGGTTGAGATTTGTTTAAGACTTTGCTGATTTTGCATCATTACAGTTTATACCAGATTAGACATCACCTGCCCTCAAGCAGCTGGCAGAAAGGTCTAAACTTGGGATAAACGGTTTTTTATATAGTCCGGCTAATTCTATAAAAATGTGACCATATGCTCCTCCTGATCCAGAACAAACACATGCTGTTAGGTGAGCTGGTGATGGGATACAGTAACACTGTCAAATCACAGCCTTAGGGAAGCTACAAAAATCCTGGTGATTCAGGTCATCATCTCACAACTAGCTCTCAGTATTATTCCTCCTAAAGAATCCATTACCCATCCAGGACAGAGGCAATAGTGACACCAGGAGTACATGGTGAAGCATATAGGTAGAATATTGCACATGGTGCTACTTTTCCCTTAATCCCCACATATTTTAAAGCAAACACCCCACTAAAATTGGGGAACTATGAATGGTGGTCAATCTAAGAAATGGATAGTCACACTGAGAAACACATGAAAAACAGCAATATACTTAAATTTTAAAGCCTTGTTTTAATAAGGTATTTATTTTTACAAAAGACATCTTACCAATCATATCCTTATGTCCTTATGACAACATTCCACACTCGGTTTTTTTTGTTTGGTTGGTTGGTATTTTGTTTTGTTTGGTTGTTGTTGTTTTTTGTTTTTGTTTTTGTTTTTTCTTGTGTGCTAATCACCAAATTGAGCCCCGGTTTTACATCTGATCTTAAAATCAAATTTTATTTTTCAGTAGTTGTACTAAAAGGAATATTATGTATTTAGAGGATATCAGCTTCAAATTCTCCACAAGAAAAAAGGTTTCTCTCAAGCTAATGGTGCACTAAAGCGCTGATGGCATAAAAACAAATGCTTGTTTGGTCTTGTTCTGAAACTTAAGTCTTGCCCTCTGGCCAAGAACCAAATGTGCTACCAGATGAGTGATACAGAGACACTGAAGAGCAACATGAGAAAGTGAGACTGCCAAGACTGCACTGTATCACTTTCATATCCAAGGCTTTTGTCTGAGTTAAAAAAACTCAAGCACATACACACAAAAAAACCACTCCTAAACAAAAAAAAAAACCAACTAAAAAAGCCACAAACAAGTAATCCTTTGTCTGGAAGCTTGTAAACCTATTTGTGACTGTACTGCAAGGAGCTTGGTAATTCTCATGCAGCATTACATCTTCCAGCAGAAACCAGACACTTCGACTTTATGCTAAAAGTGTTTTCATGTGTTTTCCATCAAACAGTAGGTGTCTGTGAGGAATTTTGTTTTCTTTTTGGTTGTGAATAAAAAGCTTTGTTGATTCTAATTTAGCTTGAATGCTATTGACAGGCAGAATTCAGACCTGTAAATGAAGTGTTCAGATCACTAAATATCAACAAGAAAAACACCAGTTACACACCAGTAAATACGTATAGGATATTATTAATGTTTTAGCTGAGAAAGAGATGATCTACCCTGAATAAAAGAAACTGCTATGTAGGTTAGGATACATTAAGAGTTAAAAAGAGAGAAAGGATGCTTAAATGTACTTATGCAATGTGATTTCTGACACTACATAATAAATCAAGTTTCAGTTTCAGTGTGGGATACATATTTTGATGTAGTTATCAAAGACAAAGATTTTTTTGTATAAGTTGGTTTAGAAAATGAATAGTCAGCAAAATCATTACATGACAGTAGAATTGCATCTACATTTCAGATCTTGTTGAAAGAGAAATACCTTGAAAAATTAAACACCTGCAACCAATATTGCTACATCAGTAAAAAAAATCTATTGTAAAAAAAATCTATTGTAGACATGGAATAAATGTTAAATATTGCCTTTGTCTATGGACCTGTGTAAGCAGCATCCTCCCATAAGAAGCAGAACATTTCCACAATTAGAGTCCAAGGTCAAAACTGCAAAGGCAATGATTCTGGTCTTGACTGTACTGTGCTGTCCCATAGAAACTTTCCAAGTTAAAAGTTCATAAGAACCACATCTAGATTCCACAGTCAGTCTAGTAATCTGTACCTCATGGAAGGAGTATTGCTGAAGAAAACTAAAAGTTTAGGGATGCTCTTTTTCTAAAACTAGGCAAAATTTATCTCTGAAGTTAGTGGATGACATCTGCCCCCAAAAACTAAGAAGAAGGAAAATAACTGAAAAGGCCAAAAAGAATCATCTAAAATCCTAACATGTTGAGAAAACACTGATGAATATAACAGGAAACAATCTGGAATGGCAAAGAAATATTCTAGACAAATAAATGAGAGTTTTCCCATTACCGGTGATATTATCCAAATGAAAAAATTGCTAACATTTGATATTAATAAATTTGCTTTGGAATTTTAGCATCATTTTTTTCTTAAAGGATATTTGGTGAAACAGCATTGTTTTCTACTCCAGGGACACAACTGATCTGTCTGCAAACTGCAGGCATCACTTAATTGGTGCACTGTAGCAGTTCTTTGCTATTGCAAAGCCAATAAAGAGCTTTATCATATTTGGGTCTGTGGAAAAAAATGCATTTAATAATTAAAACTAAAAGTATAATTATCTGGATTTTGGACAGCTTGCATTTGGAATAAAAGGTTTACTTGTGTCAGATAGCCCAGCAGAGTTTTATACAGCTTTATAGAAAAGTGCCTTACAAAAGGTATAAGCCATTTATAAAGAATATTCCTTCTGAGTCTGAATTGTGGAGAAACACTTAGAAGGAAATGACTATATGACTCTATACCTTTGTAAGTAGACAGGGTAGGACTGACTTCACAGGGAAAAGAGATCCAGTCTAAAATTATTTTGTTTCTGCAAAATCCAAAGCACTCAATGGTATTTGCTTTAAAAAACCTGTGAAGACCTTTATTGAAAGAAAATGTGGCTTTCCAGGAGTGATTTAGACTTCCCTTGGTAGCAGATACCGATGGACTAGGTACAGAAGGTTGCTTGCAACTGGCTACTTTCTCTAAATCTGTGCCAAGATTCTTCCAGATCACTTAAAAAGAAAATGTTTCTGGTTTAGCCCATATGCAGCAGGCAGAAGTAACTCTTTACCTTCTGTAGCGATTATTCATTCCTCTCTGCTGCACCCACTTTTACTTAGCCCAGCTGAGAAAATAAATGGGCTTATTTTTCATTCAAGAATCCGCATCTGGGCAATCACCATTCCCCCGTGCCTTCTGTGCAAACATCAAGGCCTGGAAGGATTACTTCTTGCTTTCATGTATACATGCCACTTGGAGGAGATGGGTCTCAGAAGAACAGGTATCTAAGTGTAACAGGAAAGAGTCACGGACAAGCAGAGCCCGAAAGGAAAATGGAATGTTATAAATGGATGAATGGAACAAAATGAGATCAGAAAGATGGACCTTGTGTCGCAAAACAAGGAAAGGGAATTATTAATGGCGGAGGTTTCATGGAGGATCCCCGTGGGTGCTGCAGCAGTGTCAGCCTCAGGGCACTGTGATGGAGCCTTGTTTGCACCCTTCACAGAGCACCCGATCTGGGCAGGAGCACGTCCACTTTTCCTCCCTCCTCCCTGGCAGCACTAAGGAGTTCATTTGGCACACAAGGCATCACTCCTAAAGGCAGGCATACACAAAAGTCCTTGATATCATTAGTGGTGTCACCTTTTCCCCCTGCTGCGGGAATTTTATTATTTGGACCTATTCAGCACTTCTCCCACCCCCAATACACCTTTCTCTGTCCTCTCCCAGACCTTTCGGTATTTGTCATTTCCGGATGGGGCCCCGCGGGAGTCGCGGCGACGAGAGCTGCTCCCCACGGTGGCAAAACGAGAGATCAGCGGGAGCTGCCGACCTCGTCCTGCCCTGCCCCGCTCGAAGCATCCCGGGATAACATCAACCGCTCCGGGGCCCGGAGAGAGGAGCGAGGAGGGGGCGTTTTGTCGCTCAAGACGCCTCAGCCTCTGGGCAGGGGCGGCCGGCTCCCTCCGATATCGCTGTCTCAGGAAAGAAGGAGGAGGAGGGTTTTCTTTTTCCGTTCCCCCCACCCCTCCCTCTTTTCCAGCCAGTAAAGAGTGTGTCTGCCCCTTTGAACCGTCGGCACAGCGCCTGCGGCTGCACACACACACAGACACACACACACCCCGCCGGCTATAAATAAGTTAAGAGCCGGGCAGAGGGCGAGCAGTGCGCGTCTGCCGGCGGGACCAGGAGGCTGGGACAGCCCCACCGAGCCTCCCCAGCGGCTCAGCCCGGCCCACGGACGCCGGACCCGGGGGTGCCATGTCGTGCGTGGAGCGCTGCTGCCGCTGCTGCGCGGAGGGCAGGCGGCACAGCAGCATCCTCTACAGCATCCTACGGAGCCAGGAGCGCCAGGAGCGGGCGGCGCCGGCGGGACAGGCTCCCCGCGGCTGCCCCTGCGGGTCAAGGCGGCGGGTGGCCCTGCGGAGCCCGCAGGTGGTTTGCAAGGCGGCCTCGGCCGTGCTGGTGAAGACGCTGCGCTTCGTCCAGAACGTGCCCTGCTTCCAGGAGCTGCCGCTGGAGGAGCAGCTGCTGCTGGTCCGCAGCTGCTGGGCGCCCCTGCTGCTGCTGGGGCTGGCGCAGGACCGGGTGCCCGTGGAGACGGTGGAGAGTGCGGAGCCCAGCATGCTGCAGCGCATCCTCACGGCCCGGCGGCACGGAGAGCAGCCCCCGCCGCGGGTACCCGCACCGCCGCCGGGCCGGCAGCACCACGGCCCGCACCTGCCCTCGGCCGGAGAGATCCAGGCCATAAAGGGCTTCTTGGCCAAGTGCTGGAGCCTGGACATCAGCACCAAAGAGTACGCTTACCTCAAGGGGACGGTGCTCTTCAACCCGGGTGAGTGGCCAGGTGGGGACAGCCCGCTGGTATTCCCAGCGAAGCGGGGCTTTTCCTTGGGGAAAAGAGGTGGTGGAGGAGGGGGACGAGGAGCAAGGTTTCACACTCTGCCCCCTCCTTAGAATCCCGGCTGTCAAGAAGGGAGGGTGGCCGGCGGCGGCCAGGTCTGGTATCCCGAGGGCTGGCGCCTTCCATAGAACAAAGAGAACCTGGCCGGTCGCTTAGGGAAAGTTGGGAGTCAGCAGCGGCTCCCCGTCGGTTTCGGAGCTTCCGCTCTGCGGGAGCCTGTAAACTCCCCACGCCCGCCCGAGGGTCGCGAGTCTGCCCGTGCTGTGCCCGGGAGGTCTGCACTCCCTGGAGAGCAAGAGGGGGCTCAGGGCTTCCAGCAACGAAGTGCTGTTTTGGCTTTGTGTGTAGCACTTGTTTACCATCTCTCTTTGTGGACACTTCTATAGATCGCACTGATGCTTATTATCATGTGGGTGACTCACCTTAAAGGTAGCTGGCAGGCTGGATCCGGTATTTCCCAAGCATGGCAGTACCCTGTGAAAGTGGGACAGGGATCTTCCTCCGCTCCCACTGTCAAACAGTTACTGATGGTTAAGTTTGTACAGTGTTACTTTGCATTTATCATACTGCTCATGTAGCTCTGCTTTCCATACAAATAAGAGAGAAAAAGTTACAATGGTGAAGCTAGTGTGACACAAGTCAAATTCTGAAGCTGGTTTAATAAAAAAAGATAGAAACATTATTCTGGTAGGAAAAAAATCTTTCCTGAAAGGGTGGTCAAGTGTTGGACCAGGCTGTCCAGGGAAGTGGTTGAATCACTGTTCCTGAAAGTGTTCAAAAAATGTGTAGATGTGGTGCTCAGGGACATGGTTTTAGTGGTGGACCTGGCAGTGTAAGGATAATGTTTGGACTCGGTGGTCTTGGAGGTCTTTTTCAGCCTTAATGATTCTGTGGTCACAAACAGCCTTAATTCTGCAGCCTCTGTCTTTCAGTGTCCTTACTGTGGTTCACTGGAAAACTTTCCATCATGTGTTGGAGTCAGCACTTCTTGCCACTTGTAAACTGGAGCAGAAACAGTTATCAAAGGAATCCTTAAATAAGAATGTGGAAGGAAGCCTTAAATGTGACATATTTTTGTAGACGTGAACAACTTAAAAAAGTTATTTTTATTGTCTAACCCACTCTAACATTGTTTTGGAAAATGTTCTTCAGTCAAAGTTTTTATCAACTATTTTTTTTAACACTTAAGTGAATGTTTACAAACATCATATTTGTCTAGTGAAGAAGAGTATTAATGGTCCTGAATACCAGTACAATAAGACTTTGTTCTGCACAATAAAATTTAATATGTTTATTCTGCATAAAAAAAGTCCTGTGGCAATTTAATTTACTTCTTTCCTTGAGTGATGTTTACAATCTATGAGCTCTTAGTAGTCGTCCTGTAAGAATAATGTTGTTTTAGAAAGAGAACACATGTAAACAAAATAATTTATTGTTCTTTTCAGATCTACCTGGACTGCAGTGTACACAGTACATTGAAGGACTGCAGAGGGAAGCACAACAAGCTCTAAATGAACATGTCAGACTCATTCACAGAGGTGATGAAGCCAGATTTGCCAAGCTGAATGTTGTTTTATCTTTGTTAAGATCTATTAATGCTGATGTGATGGCTGAATTATTCTTCAGGCCCATCATTGGAGCGGTGAACATGGATGACATGCTTTTGGAAATGCTTTGTGCAAAATTATAAAGACGTGTAAAATAATGAAAGTAAGTCCAGTGCAAAGGAAGCCCGAGAGCAGAACAGTGTAAAGTATTGTAAATAAACTAACTTATTGTTTTTACATAGATAGTATTTTTGTATTCCATAATAAAGTATTCTTCAAGATCTGAAATGAATTTTTATTAAACAGTGCTTTTGGAATAAGATTACGGTCATCAAAACAAGCTTTAAGGTTGTGGAGAATGTTCATATCCAAAGTCAAATGGTTATTCTTTTACCATGTCTCTGAACAATGAACACACTTACTATATTGTACTTTCAAGGTGAGTAATCCCTGCTTTTTCAAAATAAGCAGAAGTCTAGATTTACATTTTAAGCATAATTGACAGTCAGAAAACAGGAATGAACAAGCCATTTACTTTGCATATTTCAGTAATATTAGAATAAGATACTATAGCAACCATTCTACTCACAGTTCAAATAATGGCTCTATCAAAGGCTTACTGTCAGTGAACTACTTCTATTGACTTTAACAGAGTTGAAGTCTATGAAGATTCAATACTCACCTAGGGTTTTCTTTGATATGGGGAAGATGCATTAAGAATATTTTGAGGCTTATTTAACCTTAAAGTAGCTTCATCAGCTCTAATGTGTGCGGTAAAACATTCTATTCAACACACATTGGGATCCAGGAGAATAAAATAACTCTGCTCCCCAAAACAACAAATAAACAAAAATGCCTCTAAAAATATCCGAACAGCAAATGCTTATTAGCATCTGGAGAATGAGTAGGGCGGACTCTGCATTTCTCTTTGCTTTTCATGTAGATAACTGCTAGCTGGTATTTCCATAGTCAGATTCTTCAGACTACTTATTCCCATGGAAAAATGAAACTATTATGCTGAAATATAGTGTTACACTGGTACATCCATCAAAATTTGTCAGCTAGCATGAAGATGTCTTAATTAAGCATTGAGCTTAACACTTTTTTTTGTTTTTCTTGTGTTGGACTTGCTCCTTTCTCCTGAAGCAGTTGTGATTTTTCTGAAAAAAAAATAAATCCTATTTTAAAAATAAAATCATAAAGGGAAAATCAGTGATTTAAGGGGAATTTTTTGCTTTTCCTTTCTTTTCATGCAACTTTCTAGCCTTTTCCCTTGGGAATATTGGTAAATAATGAAGAGTGAAGTGTGACGGTGTTCCCAAAGTAAACACTATCAGTAACTCTCTCTGTTGTTCACACATATATTTACCATTAGCAACAGGTGTCTTTTAAAACACAATAAAGTTGAAGCAGTAACTCTCCCTGATAGGGGGTGTGCAGGGAAATGGAACAAGTATGAAGAGCTTTCTTTTGCTGCCACCTTGCGCAAAGCCTAATCACAACTCCTACACTGAGGTAAGGATCAGGGGGACTCTTGTTGGCTTGTACCTGCCTGGATAAAACTTATGGGAAGTAGAAATGGATAGAGAGGTAACCAGACATTCCTACAGGTTCAAGTTCATCCATAAATTTTATCACTGAGATTTGTATTGCCATGGCAATAAGAGTCTCCTCATAGACTAGGAGACCATCACTGAGCAAACAAAACAGAGCAAGAAACACCACTCCCATCCTGAAAATCTATGGTGTCCATAAATACACACTGCTCTGGTGCTCACATAACTGTCTGGGGTTGTGTGCCATGAGGAGCTCTCAAAAAATTCAAAAGAAATAAAAATATATAAGTAAAGTAAACTTCACTACCAGTGCAGACTTCACACCAGTTCAGACCATAATAGAGCAGGCTTAGTCTTTATGTTAAGTTGATCCTTTTATGTGTATACACACATGCATATCCACACCTATAACAAATATAAACATCTACATATGGATAATATTTATTGTGTATGTATAGGTGTTCTATGAGTTTACAAAAGCTTCTGAGCTTACCTAATGTCTCTGTAACATAAAAATACATCTATGTTTCCCTCTTTTTCTGCAAACAGCATATGAGCTTACAGTAGTTAGCTTTCAAGGGTGCCTGAAATAGAACCCCCTTTCCACAAAAGTCCAAAGTGTGATGATAAACATTTAAATAGTGATTAGCAAATGATGAATCTTGAGTAAGGACTAAATAAACTCCAACAGCCTCAGAATAAAACAACTTAATTGACACTGAGAATGTATTAATATGCACACTAGTGTTCAGACTCTTCTGCTAAGTAGCAGAAGAGACTTGCTTGCTGTACTCCTAACAATTAAATGTAATAGCTGAACCTTGGTCACAGGCCAGCATTTTCAGCTGAGCAGTCACCTTGAGACAGTTTGGGTCTATTGTGCCACTAAATACAAAAGTTTTGATGAATTGGGGGGACCTGCTTACATCTCCAGGTTTGGTCTCTGAACAAATTCTGTATTCTGCTCAATTTGCTGAAGTTGTCATGAAAAATGTGCACAATGAATACACCTTGAACTATACTCTATTGTATCTCTCTTGGACCAGCAATACCGTTTGTCATTTAACTGCTGTCTATTCTAATGGAAGTACCTGGGAACATAAGTAGAGAATCTGAATGGGAAAACAAATTTATCAAGGCTTTTTGCAGAGAAATGGCAAAAAAAAATGTGTCTCTTTGTAGGTCAGAGGAAGCGGAATGACAAAGCAAGTCTTGGAGGAGGAACCAAGCTGAAGGCTTGGGAGAACCATTGGGGAAAAGATTGGTGGGGTTCTGGACCTGAGTGGGGAGGAGTCTGATTTTACTGTGGGGGCATTGTACTAAGAGCTGAGTAGAAGCAGTTGGAGAGAGATTGTAACTCACAAAACATGCCCGAGTCTGAGCAAAAAGGTCCCTGTGGGAGGATTTTCTGTCGAGTCCATAAAATTTGCAGAGCAAGGAAGAACCAACCCCAGAAGTTGACACAGAGGAGGACACAGGCATCCTGCTGGAACAGGTGGCCTGTTCTCTCCTCCACTGTGCTGCTGCTGAAGAAAGGGCCATACTGGCAGCTGCGCAGGCATGAAGAGCAGTTGCTCAGCCCTGTACCAGCAAATAAATGCTGCTTACAGGATTAAGTAAAACTACTCACTTGCCTCTCACCTTTGAACCTCTGTAGCACATATTTGTACTGCATAGGAAGAGTACTGAGCTAGATCCTTTTCTGCCCCACCTCTGCCCTGTGCAGGGTGGGTGAACTCTAAGTCAGATAGCCTACATGGCCATGGTCACTCCTGTAACACAAGAGGTGATCTTTCTGGATGTCTCAGGCAGCAGGGGTAGGACAACCTGCTAGAGGCCTGAGGGAAGCAGGGGAGAAGGGAAAGCCGGGTGTAGGAGAAGGATGCTTCCATGGTGATGTAGCCTTTACTAGAAGGAGCTTCAGGTAGTGTGTCAGACCATTGTTAGCTGGCTATCTGGGACTCCTGAGAAGGGAAAGTCCTGCCTCTAGCCCTGTGTGCTGCTGAGCAGTGTTACACTGTGCTGTGAGTACTGCGCTGTCAGAGGCAGCACAGCATTTCTCCTCAAGCTCTTAAATGTACCAGTAAAGGTACCTTTTTAGTTCAATACTGACATGACTTCTAAGGATTTTTTTGCATTTTCTCTGTTTGCTCTCTATCTCTGTCATTCTGGGCCTGATACTCCTCAGGAGCACCCTTTTTTTATAGACTTACAGAGTGTCAGAGACATTTTAACTAAGAGCAGCCTCCCAAGAAATTTAGTCCCAAAATCCCCACAGTGACTGCCTTAGATAGATGCACTGCTGTACAAATAGCCATTCCCACCACTTCAATGTAGATGTCCATTGCTCTGGGTCAGATCTGTGACACCACCAGTCCAGACAAGAGCTTCTCATCACAAAGCACCATGTGGCAGAAGTTACTGCTGTGTGATATCCTCTACCCTGACGAAATCTGAGATGGGATAATTTAGAAACCAAGTTGCATTTTCAGTATATGATTATGAGTATTTCTCTTAGGTAAGAAAAAGAATAGTATTTATTTATAATCTTACTTTTCTGACCTTAATATATAACATTTGTTTTGATAATCTTTCTAGTAGTTTGCTTTAAACTTTGTAACATTTTGTTGTGGTGGGCAGACTGTGAACGCTGTTAATGCCTAATAAGTAGTAACTTTCCTACCAGAGGTGTGATTCTGCAACTTAAATTTTCTTGTTTTGAATTGGCCTCATATATTGGCTTTAATCTCTGATACTGTCAGTCGTTTTCATTTCTTTTCAAAGACAGAACTTATTCCTCTAGTGGATCTTTTGGGCTTTGCAATATATGGCAAAAAATAAAATAAAATAAAATGAAATAAAATGCCAAAAAAGCCAGTTGGTGATTTGTTTTTCCATCACTGAAAAAGCATCCTGAACAGCATAAGCAAATATTATATCAAGACATTTTGAAATTTTGAGATCTGCACACACATATTGCCTCAGGACTCGTAATATTTATTTTAAATTTTTGAAGTCTAGTATTTTAAATCTGAAATGCACAAAGTAAGATTCAATAGCTGAAACAACTAGAGACTGGCAAATGAACTTTGACATAAATATCCTTAAATCAACAAGCACCGTGAGGTCACAGGACTATAACTTGTTAGCTCTATGCAAATCCACGAATCATTCACATTGTTTGGCCCGGATTCCTTTACATATTCACAGGGTGCCTAGATGTAGGTAAATAACCACACAAGTGTTATACAAGCACACATGATACACAGACACATTTTCTTCTGTGTATGCTTATGTTATTTGCTTATTTTATATCAGGGAAATTACATTAATTTCAGGCTCAGAAAAAAGTACCTGTTCTTTTATTGTGTATACACACTCACTATTTTGTCACATAGGATGAATTTCACCTTGTTTTAACTGAGCTGCCTGAAAACTCGGCATCCAGTCTGGTGGGGGCATCAAGGCTCTGGAGAGGATGGAGAGCCACAAAGACACCCAGGTGCTGTTTGATCCCAGCATCCCTATTTTAGGGAGGCATAATTGATTTGTACTTTACAGAATAAGTCTGGATTCAAGTTATACACTGAACTGTCAAACACTACCATTTGATAAAGTGAAACTTTGGAGTCACTCTCACTTCTGGCAAAGCATTATCTGTCTTCTCTCAACTAAGACTGTAGTGAAGTGTCTCACATGTACACATGTCCATACACATATACACATACATAG